GCAGGGATAGGGTTTACACACCAAAAAGAAAAGGTAGATTAGGAATTCAAAAATTGAAGTTAGTTAACCAAGCCTTAATTGCCAAATGATGGTGGCATTTTTTTGTTGTCACGAGAAACAACTATGCAGAGAGGTGTTGGTGGCTAAGTATGGAGTTGACCCTCTAAATCAGCTGATTGCTAGGGGCCAAGGTGATCACAACACTCTTATGTTTGGAAATTCATTGCCTTTGCATTCATTTATAGATAGCCATACAAGTTGGTTAGTGGGCAAGGACAAAGGTGATGATATTCTTTTTTGGCATAAAAATTGGTCTGCTGATATTGCTCTTAAAGTTCAGTATCCAAATCTATTTCGCATAATTGCTTGGCCCATGGTGAAGGTGAGTGAGGTGGGGGAAAGGAGTGGTAATTCTTTGTGTTGGAATATCACTTGTTTATACAACCGATTGCCATTCAAAGCAGTCGAACAATTGTTAGAATGGTTAAAGGTGTTGGAAGATGTTCATATTTCAAATTCTATAAATGATGAGATAGTGTGGGAGCTAGAATCTAATGGCATATCTTCTGTTAAATCAGATTATCACATTCTTTTTCATGATCATTGTAGGAGTCAGCCTGAATTAAAGGACATTTAGAAGTGGAAAGCAACACATAAGATTTAGGCTTTTGTATGGGTAATGGTACAAGGTCAAGCTCCAACGATTGGTAATTTAAGAAAGAGAGGAAAAATATTAGTCAATGTTTGCCTTTTTTTTAAAGAACGTGGAGGAGAATAGAGAGCATTTATTTCTTCATTGTCCTTACTCTTACCATATTTGGTCAGGGCAATGCAAAAAGTGGGTGTCTCTTTGGTGCATCCAATTTCTCATCTAAACATTCGGAATCATCTCAAGCTTGTAGGAGTAGGGAAAGTAGGACGCATGATTTGGGTATTTTTCGAGGGGCTATCATTTGGGAGTTGTGGTTTGAAAAGAATAGAAAAACTTTTGAGGGTGTTTCATCAGGTATAGAAAGAATTCAGAGTAAAATTTTGTTTAGAGTGTGGAGTTGGTTTAGTATTACTAAAGAAACGTATGGTGTTTCAAAGGTGGATGTAAAGGTTAATATGGCTAACCTTGTTTCTTTGAAGTATTTAAATGTAGGTATATATGGAACCACCAACGGTAGGGTGCTTCAAATTGAATTTCTATGGATAGTGTATGAGAAATCGAGGTGTAGCAGGGGTGGGTGGTGGGTGCAGAGATAGTAGGGGTAATGGTCCTTTTTGCTATGCAGGTCCATCTGGTATTGTAACTGCGAACCATGCTGAAATTGTTGCGTTATTGTAAGGGTGGTTATTTAGAGGGAGTGACAATTGGGAATTTTTGGGCCGTAGAAGGTGACTCATTCAATGTGATGAATTGGGGCAATAAGCAATCTAGACTTACCGTGGCATCTAAGATTTATATGGTTGCAGGTTATGGCTATTACATCTCATTGGTTAGTGAGTTTTATCCATGTTTATAAGGAGGCGACTAAAATTGTAGACGATCTGGCGAAGAGGGGTGCATCTTTGGATTCGTTGATAGTTTTATTTGTTTTGTTCTGATTTTTGTACTAGAATTCCTTATTGATTTAATAAAAGTAAGTATGGCAGGCCCGTTCTAGCCTATTTTTTTTTTTTAGGTTTTTTAATGGTATTTTGTTGAATTCCTTAAGTCCAGCTCGGTCAGAACCATGCCAGGGGCCTGGCCCACCTAGTAGGGCCTCTGGGATGGGCCTTGGGCTTGGCCACGTTAAGGCCTTCAGTGACATGAGTCGGGCCCAGGCCAGGGTGACCCGCTTCGGTACTGCGAGCCATACTAGCGAGCTCAATTTTATAAAAGCAAGGCAACTTTCAATCCTAGCCATCTGCCCCAAAAAGACGTGTCAAAGTTATTTTTAATCTCTCTACATATATTGAAATCTCAATTACGTAATTGATCAGAACAAATATTCGATGAAATGGAAAGGCTTGATATGAACTATATGGCAAGTCAAGCCGAGGCTCTCGTGGGTCAAATTACACATTCTTCTTACATCACGGTCTTATATAGTGAAAATCAACGATGATTTGGAGTTAGCTAAATGAGCCAGGGAATTGCCACAGGTTATATAAATATCGGTGTTTTACTATAGTGAGGCAGGCGACTCACTTTCTCTTTCTGTTGTTTTTTTTTTTTATTAAGGTTGTATAAGTGGGCCACTACCCTTTTAGCGAGAGTGGAGTTCGACATTTCATTTATGGGGTTCAGAGGAACCCTTTGGTTAAGCATTTTTTTTTTTTCCCCTCAATATTGAAGGCTGATTTGAAGAGAATTAGCGAGCAAACTCTCCTAAAAAAGTAACCCAACCGGCATCTGATCCCGAATTTTAAACATTGGTTTTGTAGTATTTATAATGGATCTGCCGGCAAATGTATTGGTGGAGGCTTCAACACGACCCCTAAACCGACATGATTTTATTGCTTGTAATGTTGCCATATTTAATGTGTCTTCTCTTACTTATCAACATCTAATACTTCAATCTAACCATCATGGAGGCCATTCATTTTAATTAATGGAGGGTACCATCCTTATTTAATTGAAATTGGTCACTATGTATAGAAAAGAAGAAGATTTTTGCAAAGAATAACAAGGTTCTCACGCATCCTTTATATCAAATTGCAGATTTTGGGAATTCATCGATCCACGGCAATTCTTTAAGACAAACATTCTACGCATTCGATCTTGATTGTATGATTTACTCTCTTTCTCTCTCTCTTTTGATAATTTGATTTTTGATATACCTTAGTCAATAATTTTTATCTAACTCTCTCTAATATTTTATTTTGTAAACCGACATTTTGGAATTTTGCAGGCTTACGTTATGCCGTTGAATACTGATGCATAGTTTTGTATTATTATGAGTTTCAGTGACTATTTGTATGATTATTAGTCATATGGGAAATATGATACAGTGAATCTTCTCTACCACGACTAATGGTCTTCCCACCACATTGAATTTAGAAGTTTGTAGTCTTTAATATAGGTATAGGACTTATAGTCTTATTGAGAGTATGTTTCTTCAAAGGGAAATAGCGGACCATGATTTGTGTAGTTGATCTCCAATAATTAAAAAAATACTCTGATGATGATGACGGTAACAGTCTTTAATATCTTAAAAAAAAGATTTCCCATATAGATACAGAGAGAGGGGGTGGCCTTTCTCCTATGTGACATGATGATGGCTAAGAAGACAGAAGGTGTGTATTATTATGATGTTCCTTCCAAACAAAAGCATGTATAATATTTGGTTTGGGCTTTGGAGGCTACAGCTCAACTGGAAGGCCCTTATTCTTGTAGCCTTTTGGCAGCTAAAACTCAACAAATCAACCCATAAAAGCCGCCGTGTGAATTATTTTAGGGCCCATCCAAATGGGCCCTAAGATAATTTTGTTTGGTGCTGCAGTAATAAGACGGTTAGGGATAGACTTTTAAGCTCTCTCACATTTAGCGCTCCCCATGGCTTGATTGGAAAATTCCACAAGATGTTCTCGTGGGCTTGGGCCTCACTCAAAACCATAGAATTATATATATAAAGGTGCATGCCAAGCATATGAGTATAGGACTAAAAAAATAAGGAAAAGTTTATATAAAGTTGCAACCTTAAAATGCAGAATTATATATGCACCTCAAAAATTTATTAGAAAAGATTTTTTTAATGTTGAAAAATACTCTAATTGATCATCTCGACAACAACAAGATGTATGAATATGAGAAAAAAAAGACTTTGAATCCCCAAAATAGTGTATCTCGCAACACTTTATTTAGACTGTCCATTTTCAAGATTTTTCATATGTTTATAGATATTCCTGATTTTAACTATTTTTGAAGTTTAAAATTTTATAATTAGATATAAAAATAGATTTTGAGATAATCCTAAAAATTTTTTACACCAAAATTACATTTATAATAAAATTTAGAGGTAGGCCTTAATTAGATTGTTTGAGGTTGCAACCTTATAGAAACCACATCTAAAAAATAATAATATCATACGATTAAATAATTTAGAGAAATAATTGCCAAGCCCCCAATCTTTATGCAAAAGTTGGTGAAATTGTTAAAAGCTTAGTCACTGGCCCGCTAAGTCGAGGCAGGCCACTTGCCAAGTGACATTACATGAAAAAATTTCATCATTAAGAATGGGGTTGGGTTCATGGTCGTAGTACTGCGTGCCTTGCAGTTTTTTTTCTCACTAACACATTAACAATTTTTAGTATTTCCGTAGCTTTTTTTCTCACTAACACATTCAAAATTTTGAGTATTTTTCAATGTTGTTATTTTCGTTTTTGAATAGTTTTCGGTTTGGAGAGAAAAATAAAATAATTCGGTGCTTCGGTCGATTTCGAAAAATATTTCGAATTTTTTTTAATTTAATATAAATAAATTAAATATTTATATATAAAAATATATAAAAAATTTAAAATTAAAATTAAAAGTTAAATAATAATAAAAATAAAAAAACTTTTATATAGAGGTCACAGAAGCGGCCGGTCTATGCCTCCTGAAAGTTTCGGCCTCTTCGACAAAAAGAAGCTAATTTGACAACTCTGGTATTTCTAAAAGAGATAGAGGTTATATTCCCACAAATCTACCCCCACAAAAATCATTAAATTGGCAGGTGGTTGGGGGCAGAAATTTTCCGCCCCAACAAAGGACCCAAATTATTAGTTATTTTAATGCCTCTATTAATTAATTCAGGCATGTTTCTTTAATGCCAATAATGGATTTTTTTCATTTTTTCATGGAATGAATTTTGACATTGTCTTCTGCACCCGCGAGGCACGTGCACTAAATTTCGATATATTGGAAATTATAATATAAAGAAAACCGGTTTGGTGATACCCCATTAATGGAGTTAATTCAATTTGTAATGGTAGCAGCCATGTCTGAAAATGACGGAGACTCATAAAACCAATAAAGAAAGAAGAAATCAGGGACAGATATTGAGTGCTTGATCACAAATTGTTCACAATTCAATATCAAATTCAACAACCAAAGTATTAAACACTAAAAAACTCTGTACAAAAAAAAATTGGAGAGAGAAACTTCTCCAAGAGCTTTTGCAGAGAGAGCTTTTACTTTGCCTCTTAATGAGAGAGAGAGGGAGAGAGAGATCAAAATGTTCAGCTACCCCATTGCAGACCACAACCTAGCCTCAAAACCCCATCCTCCCTTGGGCCACAGCACAACTCCTGCTCCTTGGAATAAACTCACCTCCCTCATTCTTCGTGTTGAAACTACCATTGAAATAACATGGCTGCTCCTCATCAATGGTCCCAATATTAACACTACGACTCTTAGCTACCCTCGCTGCCGAAGGCGTTAAAATCACGGGTGATGGGTTGATTTTCCCTTTCTCTCTCTTCTGTGAGGCCGCTCTGATCAACTCTCTGAGATCCTCTTGGCTCCTCGTCGAGGCCGTGCTATAGCTACGGGGGAGCATGGTAACACCACCTGTTGGTCCGCCCATGATCATGGTGAAGTCTGCTACCCCGGCGCATTCGTTCATGCTCCTCACATAGAAATCTCTAGCTTTGCATAGGGCTCTAATGGGGGAGCAGGCCTTCAAGCACCTAGCAAGCTTGCTCATGCCCTTTCTCTTCTGCTCCATGCTCTTGATTTGGGGTATTGGATGATGAATCTAGAGAGAGATTATAAAGATGAGAGAGAACTGTGGGATTAAAGATTTGGGTACAAAAAATGGATGGAAGTTGGTGGATGAGGAATTCCTTAAATAAGGAAATCTAGAGAGAGAGGGTGCTTAAAGATGGTGGAACTTTTGCAGGTACGAGTTACTTGAAAGTAGATGGGAAGGAGAGAGGTGTAAAGAGAATTATGAGGTGGGCTATCGTTTTATAATGATTGAGACAAACTTGAGAAATTATTTTCCTAGACAGAGAGATTTCTACAGGGAGGGGGAGACAGAATTTTCCTAGAGAGAGAAGGAGCGAGAGAGGTTGTTTTCCTAGAGAGAGAAGACGTGTAGGATGTGCACGGTATTTGAAATGGACGGGTGGACCTTCCCACGCAACGACTTCTTTTTTATACCTTTTCTCTTTTTTTTTTATTTAATTTTTTTTTTATCTCTTTTATCCTCTTTATACTTGTCTCTTTTATTTTTTTATTTTTTTTATTTTTATCTCTTTTTTTTATCTCTCTAAGTCTTGTTAATATATTTTTTTTTTCTCTCTAATTTTTTTTTATCGCTTATTTCTCTTTGAGATTTAGAGAGAGAAATATATGATAAAAAAAAGAAATTAAAGAGATAAAAGAAATAAATATAAACATGATGAAAGAGCTAATCTAAACACGAAAAAAGGATTTATGGCTTTTAGAGTACCGCATAAACTAGGTTAGTTTTTACTGTACTTAAAATACCATATAGCATGGGTTAGTTTTTATTGTACTTAAAATACCGTATAATATTTTAGGTTTGTGCTTAAGGGTAATACAACTACCGAGAAAGTTATTTTGTTAAAATAAAACTCCTCAAATTGAAGAAAAAGGGTTTGGGTGGGTTTTATAAAAGTTAAATGTTTTTTTCTAAATAGAAAAAAATTAATGTATATTTGTGATAAAAAAAAATTTATAATTTTTTTGACTCTTTTTTACCTTTACTATTATTATTATTTTGATACCAAGAAAACAAAACCTAATTTCTTTGACATTTTTAACCCTTTTTAATTCTATTTTACAGTTTTTTATTTTGATAAGAAGGAGACAAAATCGGGGATCATGGACGATTGAACCGGGATTCATCGGCAATAACTCGGGGACGGGAGCCAACGCTAATCATCAATTAATAATGTAATAGAGTTGCTGTCCATTTTTAACTCGTTTTGCGAAAATAATGATTAATAATGTAATAAGAATTGCTTTCCATTTTTAACTCGTTTTGTGAAAATAATGATTAAGAGTTGAATTTGAATATGTGGTTTTACTATTTCTTTGGCACAAGGATTATCAGGATGGTTGAATGGACTGGGTTATGGTATGAGATTCAACGTCCTGACTCAGCTTATTAAATGCTCACCTCTAATGTTTATCCATTCATCCTTACTCTATCATCTTCATTGAGCTCTTATCCCAAATTCCTGTCTCTTTAATCTACATCGAATTCTTATCCTTAATTTCAGCGAATTCTTATCCTAAATATCAGTATAAGATCTTAGGTTTGAAAAAACGGATCGGTCACTTCACCCTCCAAATATCCTATCTGATTTGGGAGATTGGCGATACAGTTTGCCGAATCTATGATTAAAATAATTAAAAAATTTTAAAAATAAAAAGTGGAGATGGTTCTGACCAATTCTCTAATAGAACTAGCCAATTATATCATAAAACCGATTAATTAAAAATTAAAAAAAATATGTGGCCAATTCTAACTGGTTCTGTGACTAAATTGAGAACTATCCGATTCGTGGGGGACCGACTAGTTATCGATATTTTACAAGATCCAGATCCAATCCTAATCACTGATTTTCAACCTATCCCCGACACTGTAGTATGGTTGTTACACATGTAAATTTCATCAAAATGCCTGCCCACATTCTAGAAATCCATCCATATCTTTCTCTAACAAACCTAGCTTTTCAAACTCTCGAAAACCGGTGGCACCGCTCTCGAAAACTAGTGGCTCTCGTTTCTTCCAGACCTTTTTGGGCAACAAAAGATAAAATGTTTCATAGGTTATCTTTACCGGTAATGGTCTTGCAACCTTCTATTGACTTGGACCCTTTTGTTTCTTCCATGTGTTAAGCATTGTCATTATATTAATGTGTGGTCTTGGGACATGGAGTTGTTTGAAATTAAGGCCTTTCCTAATCCCTATTTTGCCCTACTAAATTGACAAGTAACTGCTTTAATCGGTCGGAATGAAAATGACACCATACGCGTCTCGTGCATAGATAGCTACGGTTCAAAATGAGGCCATCCACCATCCATCTAATAAGGGGATGGAGGCAAGGACAGGTATACATGTATTTGTAAACTTCTAGCGTATTATATATATACTACACCGTAGTGTTTTTGGGGAAAGGAATCGTCCTATGTTTCGGTCCTCTCGTGAACTGAATCGGATCAGCAATTCTAATCAGGCTTACTAACTGTGGAATAAAAAAAAAGTAATAAGATGTGCACCTGACCGTATTGTTTTTGGGGAAAGGAAACGCCCTATGCTTCAGTCCCCTCGTGAACTGAATCGAATCAGCAATTCTGATCAGGCTTGCTAAAAGTGGAATAAAAAAAACTAGTAAGATGCACTTGATCGTAGTGTTTTTGGGGAAAGGGATCGCCTTGTGCTTCAGTCCCCTCATGAACTGAATCGCATCAGCAATTCTGATCAAGCTTGCTAAATGTAGAATAAAAAAAAACTAATAAGATGCCCGTGACCGTAGTGTTTTTGGGAAAAGGAATCGCCCTATGCTTCAGTCCCCTTGTGAACTGCATCGGATCAGCAATTCTAATCAGGCTCGCTAAATGTGGAATAAAAAAAAAAACTAATAAGATGCATCTGCTTTACAGGTCTCATTGAAATGCTATATACAAAGTACAATGGTTATATAAATATTATGAGAAATAATTTACTAAATGAAAAAATATGATTGTCTTTCTACTTATACTATGTAATAGAATATTAAAAATGAGTAAATTGTTTATGTAGCAAATTAAGTAATAGAAACACGAAGAAAAAGTTTATATAAGGTGTGTCAACCTTATGCTATTGAACTAAGGTATACCTCAAAAATATTTTAGAAGAGAGTGTTTTGACATTTAAAAACCTTTTTATTTAATCATTTCGACCTCGACGTGTATGGATATGAAGAAATATTAAATTTCAAGTCCTGAAAATAGTGGATCTTATAACAAATTATATGGATTGTCTACTTCCAATGTTTTTTAAGTGTTTATATATATATGCCCGATCTGTACCATTTTTTGAAAATTAAATTTAGAACTAGAAATAAAAATAAATTTTCAATCCATCATAAGGTTTCAAACACTGAAAATACATCTCCAAGTAAATTTTGGAGGTGCGCCTATTTCTATAGTTTAAGGTACCTTATACTAACCTCACCTTAAAGATAAATCGTGCAATTGTATACAAATCCCTTAATTTATATCTATTTGCTTATAAATAATTAGTGAATACTCACAGTACATATAAAGAGCCACTGAGATTGAAATTTGTAACCCATATGCAGTAGAGTCAAAGCCACTAAGATTGAAGTTTGTAACCCATACGCAGTAGTCATAGAAGAGTCATAGAAGGGGGAAAGGGTGTACCAATGTGTAACTCATAATTAATCAGTAAAGTCACGACCGATGAAAATGTGTAACCTACAAGTGATGAATGAAGAGTCACTATTGTGACTTTTGGAAATCTAAAGTTATATGTATCTATACCCTACAATGTCTCTAGAGATATGATTGCTTCTTATTCTTGCAATATGCGTTAAGGACTTAATAATGTAGAATAAATAAAAAATCAGGAGACCCTCGCCCCACCCCAATGTTCTTAACAAATGTTCAACTGCCCTATTTTGCAAAATTTCTTAGCCTTGCAATCATAAATGAAAACCACTAAAAAACTATTGATTTCTTATTTTAGTCTTGTAATTACATGACTAATGATGTTATTGATTCCTTAGTTATAGTCTTATAAATGAATGACAATGTGTAACCGATCCTAATTAGTTGAAAACATATTTTGATGATAATGTCGTTATTGTAGAGGGCATGCCCCCCTTGCCTTGTTGGAACCTATGTGATAAAATAATAAAGAAAAATAGTGGGAGGACTGGGATTCCAAAGCCCCATACCCCTTCATCCTTATCCAAATTGAGAGATTCATATCCAATCAAAGTAAAGCGTACCTTCAAATAATGTCGAGAAATATGGTTTCAATACTTTAAATCTTTGTGATAGCTTTAAAATATATTTTCATCTTTAATTAGAAAATTTAAAGTTTAAAAAATAGTGTAAATCAAGCATATCTATGAAAGTTTGAAAATCTTGAAAATTGACAGTCCAAAAATGCATTACAAGATGTACTATTTCGAAAACTTGAAATCCATTTTTTTTCTCAGGTCCATACATCTTGATGTCGAGATGATCAATTTGAAGATATTTGAACATCAAAACAACCTCTTCTAATAAACTTTTTGAGGCGGGCTCTAATTTGATTGTTTAGAGCCTCGGCTCTATATAAACTTTTATTTTTATTTTTTTTCAAACATTGCTCTAGATAAATTGAATGAGATTCTTTGGAAGCACTTCAAGGACTTCATACTTCTAATACTTTCATAATTGCCAAAACCTACTTTATTTATAAAAAAGATGATCTTTCATTTCAAGACTTCATGACAATAGCGATTATGAATTCCAATGGGTGATCACAGTAACCCCACCCAAAAGTGAAATGGAGACAGTGGATAAGGATGGCTTAGTGGCAATCATGGGAGGTGCTGTTCTCAATTTCCAAGACATTTTTTAATCTCTTTTCCCTAAATAAATATGTGGGGACCTTTAGCCTGCTCATCACTTGAGCTCTTCTTAATCATCTGGCACCTTTTCTTTTGTTTGCTCTTTTTTCTTTCTTCGGTATGTTTTTATTTTTATATTTAACTCATGCAAGAGAAGGAAAAGAGCCCGGGCTTAATTGGTTAGCACTTTGACGATTTGCAACGCTACTCCCTAAACTCAATTTCTATCTAAGGTAGAGGCCCTCTCCCCACCGACTTATCCAAAAAAAAAAAAATTCATACAATAGTAGAAAAATGAAAAGAAATTAGGTCCCCACCCTCTCTCATGGGCAGGCCATGTGAGGGCAAACCCCCTAGTGGAAAAAAAAAATTAGGTTCCCCACAATCTCTCT